AAAAAAAATAGAAGACTCGGCTATGTAAAAACGATCCCAAAGTGTTCTCGCGTTTTTAATTACAAAATGAGAGAATATTTGTTTTGCTTTATCAGCTGGTAAACTGTATCCGCAGGAAGTTTGTTTAGATGTACGCTTTCAAGACTTTAAAGCAAATAAAGCGTGTTTCAATGTAAATACGATATCCAAGAAAGGGTAATTGTATACTAGACATCAATGAGCCGATAATCAGCTTTAATCCGACACAACAAATTTTTACGACCACGAATTTCATGATATTCCAGATGCTAAAGGTCATACATACAATGCAGCTTTTGAAATAGGAGGTATATCTTAAGTGAAACCGACGCTTGACCCATTTCCATTAATCATAGTTGTGCTCTGCACAGCTGCGTTAGACATTACAAAAACTGTCACCATAAATGCACAATCTGCAGACTAGAACAGTTGAAATATAAGATACATTGCTGAAAAGAGTGAGAAAGAACCGAAAAGCAAGTTATCGACTATCACGCTCAAAATAGAGAGATAAGATAGTAATGTGCAGAAGACAGGAGATAGCGAATTATGAATGCACAATCCTAGAATTTAGAGATTAGAGGAAAACATGAAATCCTAATCAAGAAGGAGCAAATCGAAATTGAGATCAGCAGAATCCCCGCTAGATTGTTGCTCTCGCCACATCTGCATGAGAGTTGGCGAATCCTTCAATGGTTTCGGTTTAATCACAGCTTGGAACTTAGTTGGTTCCGGAAGTCCAGATAGTACAATATCAACAACTGTACACATTTGTATCAACTGCTCAAACTTTCCTAAACAGCGAAGCAAGACTTAATGAACATTTTGTACAAAAAAAAAACAGCCAACTTTTTACTCACCATCTTCATTCTCCCAGTAAAGAATAAGCCTATTGGGGTTCTCAAGGAATGAAGGCTCCTGCCTCATTTCAAGTGTCTTAAAAAAAGTTTTAAAGAATGGCTAAAAACTACGAATATAAACTCACGTTGATATAAACGCGCTTTATAATACCGTACTTGAAGAGTAGGACATCAAAAGCTGCATCAAGAACGTTTACTACTACTCCTTTTGCTTCCATTGGTCCCACTCGCTAGAAAAATGATGATACATTATAAGCCTACGATATATGCTAAATCCTGAGCAACTCCCACCTGTATGAGAATCCCAAAAAATGTTTCTGCACTGGCTTCACTGACTTTCTTGGCTATTAACTTCTTATCGTTGCAATGTTCAGCCTAGATTGAGCATTTTTATGCACTGAAGCTGAAGTTCGCAAAAAAGGCGTACAATTTTTTGGATTTGTTCAACGCTTCGCTCAGACGGCTTACAATAACCTAAAGCAGCGGCTAGTAAGCGATGTACAATTATATCTGGATACCGACGAATTGGTGATGTGAAATGTGTGTAGCTGAAAATTGTGAAGAAATGAAAATGGAAATCAGCATGATCTGCATACTCACAATGGCACATTTAAAGCAAAATGATGGTATGAGCTTTGACTTTCGACTGAACCGGTACAGAAATATCTCGCAAGTTCCATAGCTTTCATCAATATTAGCGAAAGGACCTCAAGTTGATATTATAGGACAATGCAATGTGTAGCACTCCGCGATGACCTCACCTGATTAATGGATCTCATAAGTTGTGAGTTACACCGAAAAGGGGCAAGAGCACTAGATAATTGCTGTGAAGATGTACCATCGATTGGAAAGCCTATGCTTTTGCATAAAGTGACCTGAAAATTGATACTTCCTTCTATAAAGTAGTTACTCAGATTTTTCTTGTGATCATTCGTTATCAACTTCAGCTATAAGAGGACAGCGATCAGATCAAAGTTGTGATCATAACATGAAGGTGATAACAATAGTTTCCCCATCTGCGGCCCTTTCACTAAAGGATGTGCGCCATTCTTCAAAGCCACCGAACAAAAGACCCTTACGAACAGCAGCATCAAATAGGCACGTAATCTTGGGACAGCTTAGCTGTTTTGTTCTAAATCTTCGCGAACAATCCAACAGGGAGAACTATGCATCGACCAACACTCAGACCTTTTACTGTGAACATCATTTCGCTATCATGATACCTTACGGCCTTCATACTGTTAGTTAGGTAGAAGAAATCATACCGCTTCTCGGAGAACTTTGGCTTTCGGTGGAGGGTGCATTCGAAGCAAAGCAGTTTTTCTAAAGTGGCGCTCAATTTTACGAGCAACTGCCATATTAGCGAGGAGCATAAATTCTTCGACGAGACGATTCGAGTCTTTGGCCTGAAAACAAAATTCATTTACATATTGAAAGCTTCTAAAACGCTGAAATAGTACTTGATAGATCGAGACTCCGATAGGCATCTTTGTCTCATCGTCCAAAGCAAACTTGAGCTTCGGTTGGTCTAATTGAAGGGATCCACATTGACTCCGTTTCAATCGGAGAGCTTTCGCCAATGCATGGAGTTGCAGCACCTAACAAAAAAATAGCTACCATTAAGTAGTTGAAATAACGTTAAGAAATTATGTGCAAATAACCTTCTCCTTGATTTGGAACACTGTGACCTCATCAGAGATTTCTGGCATTTCTGATTCCAAGAAGTCCTTGTCCGGATTTTCGATAAAATCCTAAATTGGTCAAATACAATTTAAATGGCTGATATTATGGTAACAGAGTAATGAATAAGAGTATAAGCTATAAAAACAACAGCTGATCAAAAAATAACCCTGCCTGAGCATGCTCATAAGTTAATTTCACTCGTGACCGGATAACAGATCTTCCAAACCACTCATCGTACACGTCCCCTTTCTCATCCATTTTGAAGATGACCGAGAATGTTAGCCTATCCACACCAGCATTGAGACTGCACAGCTCTTCGCACAAAAGGCGAGGCAACATTGGAATAACCTACAACACATATGACTTCATGCCATATCAAAGCATGCAGCAAAAATTACTGTTAATAATGAGATTCTAAGAAAGTTGTGCCAACCTCATGAACGAGATACACGCTGTTGGCCCGTTGAGATGCCCATTCATCCAGAACTGTGTCTTCGAATACAAAATGACTGACATCAGCTATATGTACACCAACCTAAAACAGCAAATCTCAAAAAAAAA